CGGGGGGGGCCCGGGGGCCGGACGAGGCCCTGCCTGTCGCGGCCCTGACCGGCGGCTCTCTCAGACCTACAAGAAGTGGAGCTCGGAGGGCCGCGCGGGGCGGCGAGGCCACGACGCCCCCATGATCGCCTATGATGCTCTCCTCGCGGCGGGGGACAGCTGGACCGAGCTGTGTCACCGGGCCATGTTTCACGGAGGTGAGCTCTTCCCTCCTCACTGGTTGTGGGCATCAGGACGTCCCCCTGCCCAAACGTGCCCATTTCTGGGCGTGGCCTGGGAGTGGCAAGAGCGCAGCTCGCCCGCTGGTGTGAGCCTGCAAGTCTGGTGCCCACCGCAGACCCTGGCGGGCCTGGGGGCTCACGTCCACCCCGCTGGGCTCGGGAGGTCTGAGTGGCCGAGTCAGGCGTCCCCCAGCCAGCGCTGGCTGAGGCAGCGGCCCTCTGGGGCTGGCATGTGGGGCCGTCCCCTGTGGTGACCATCACCTTGTCCCCTGCTGCCAGGGCCCCAGGGCAAGGCCACGGCCGCTGTCGCGGTCAGGGTGTGGGGCAAACCAGGCTTCTGTCCCAGCACGCGGCACTCGGCCTGTCTCACGGCGACTGGAGGTGCCAGGCCAAGCACCCCTGCAGCCCGTGCTGTCCTTGTGGCCGGGCCTGGCGGGGCGTCAGCAACGGTGCATGCCTGCTCTCCCCAAGCCACGCTCAGTCCACGCAGGCTTCCGTCTGACTCGACACAGCAAGCCAGTGCCCGCCTGCGACCGGCCCGGGTTCCCGTCAGGTTTCTTCTCCCTCCGATGCATCTCCCCGCTGAGGTGCCGCTCGCCGGTGTCCACACCAGGGCCGCTCCAGCTGCATGCCCACGGTGCAAAGGCGTCTGCCCCACCGTCCCCACTCACACGCTGCACGAATTGCCACAGGCTGAGGGCGGCAGGGTGTGGACACAGACCAAGCAGGGGAAGGGCAGATGGGAGGCCATGTCAGGCCCCAGCAGGCGGGACAACAGGGCCACGTGGTCCCAGGATCCACTCTCCTCGCCCTCTGCACCATGCCGGGAGTGCGGCCTGCCAGGGAGGGCGAAGGCAGAGCCTGGCCCCCAGGAGGCTCCTGAGCCGGCAGAGAAGAGGGCCTGGTCCAGAAGCATGGCCCGCCCTCGGATACGGCCCGCAGGGCCCGGGCTCACTGAGCATGCTGTGCTCGCATTCCAGGCGAGAGCGGGGCCACGGGGACCATCGCGGGCTGCCTGTTCGGACTGCTCTACGGCCTGGATGGCGTTCCCGAGGGCTTGTACCGGGACCTGGAGCACAGGGCCACACTGGAGCGCCTGGGCACAGCCCTCTACCGCCTGTCCACCGAGGAGAAGTAAAGCTGCTTCTGCCACTGCCTCCGGGGCTGCTCTGGGCGCCCTCCGCGCACGCGTAGCCCATAGGCGAGGGTACTGTTGGCTCTCCTGCGCAGCAGACCGCTCGGTGCTGGAGTTGGTGGGACCCCCAGTTTCGGGCCCTCACTGCCCTGTAAAAGGCATGGTGTGTCCCCCCCACCTCCCGCATGACCTCGGGCTCCCAGGCTCGCCCCAACATGGTGTTGACAGGCGCGTCCTGGCCGGCTGGTGTAGCTTCTCTGTTGCTGAGCTAAGGCTGTGCGCTCGCTCCCTGTGCCGAGGCCCCTAGGGCTGCTCGGGCCTGCCTGTGCGCCTTCCCCTCCTGCCCCAGGCCTGCCGCCTCCTTGCCCCAGCTGGGCGCCTCGGCATCTCAGCAGTGGCCACCCTTCCGCCCTCGCGGAGGGAGCTAGCGGCCCAGCACTGTCAGCCTGGCACACCCGGGAACACCTAGCCTGTGTGGCTACTCGTGGTCGCTCTGGAAAGCAGGCCTGTTCTGAACCGACTTGCAGGAAACCAGGTGGGCGGCAGCGCTGCCTCTGGTTAGCCCACCCCGCAGAGGCAGCCGTCCCAGTTGGTACACAGGACGCCTCGCTGTGCCCGGAGTCCTGAGGGAACAGCTGTTCTTGTTCAAAAGAACGCGGACACGCTTTCTTTACGAGCAGTGTCTGGGGAGGAACAGGGCCGGTGTGGCGCTGGGGACCTGGGTGGCCCGTGCCTGTCGGTGCCCAGAGAGCCGGCCCTTGGAGAACACTGGGGCAGGCCAGGACCCCTGCGAGGGGGAGGGAGCTGGGGCAGAGCCCGGCCTTCGTCTGCCTTCCCTGGGAGGGTGTGGGGACCGTGGGGTGTGGGGTGCCCACACCTTCTCGCCAGGAGAGTCACTGGTGAGAGCAGTTGGTGGGCTCTGCAGGAGAGGCCACAGGGGCCTGGGCCCAGAGGCATTGCGTCGGCACCTCCAGGAAGCACCCTTCCTGTCATCCTGACACCTCTCTCTTCCCTCCTCGACCGTGAAACACCCACTGCGTTTGGACGGGAAGCAGCTGTGTCCCCGACGTGGCTCGGCAGCGTGGCCCGGTCGTTTCCTGGGGTGTGTAGTCGGTGCCTGCCCCGAGCACGGCACGCCACTGATTGCCAGCTACCAGCTACTCTCCGCTGGAAGGTTGGAGGGAGCGGCCTTCCCCGCCACACTCTGCTGCCCAGACCCACCGGCAGGGCAGGGCATGGGAGGAGACAGGACTCAAGCTCAGGGACAGACAACCTCACCCAGCCCTGGGAGCCCAAGTGAGTGCTCCCAGCCACCCGCAAAAGGCACGCGCAGCTCAGGGCACCGCGGCGTGAAAGGTGTTTCCTATTCCAGAGAAATGCAAAAGTGGAAAAAGCAAAACCATAGCCAGTCATGAGGTGAGAGCCCTACACCCCTCAATTCTGAAAAAAGTAGCATCTGCTGTTTTTGTTTTTGTCGTAAAAATGACACACGCTCATAGCCTCCACCCGAGGGGTGGCCTGGGGTGTGGGCCCTCCCAGCCCTGGCGGGCTGCCCTCCCAGCCCCAGGTCAGGCCAGCGGGGCCCTCTGTAGGGCAGGCGGGGTGTGCGAGGCGCACAGGGGTGTGCACCGAGCGTGACTCACCCCACGCAGGAGCCAGCGTGGAGCCGGCTGCCAGTCCCGCTCACGAGGCTGCTGTTCTGTCCGCCCCCACTTCCACCTCGCCTTCCTGCCTTGGCGCATGTGCCTGTGCGTGTGTAGCCATGTACCCAGGGCGTCCGTGCCCCACACGCTGCCCCGGAGGCCGCCTCTTTGCTGGAAGGGCTCCACCCCGAGGCTGCGTCCTGCCTGACGTTTCGTGGTGCAGCCTGCCTTCCACTGCGTCCCCGAGTTTCGGGGCAGGCTCCTTCTCCGAGAAAAACAATGAGGCGCATGTGGACCCGAGACCTGACCTGTCACACAGCCTCCTGCAGAAGGCGCCGAGCGACCCGTCACCACCGGGCCGGTCCCCACACGGGCACCTCAGCTGCCCCGAGGATCCAGACGGGCTGGCTCGTGCCCGCAGCGCGCCTCCTGGGTGGCGGACTTGTCAGGAAGACATGCTTCTCAGGCTGCAGGGTGGGCCAGGTTGCGCCGTCTCCTGGAACTCGGTTAGCAGATTCCGTTTTCCGGCGTTTTCTTTTCTGAAGGCGCGAGAGGTGGGCTCGGTGACATCTCATCCCTTTCTGACAGTGAAGGGTCCAGTGACAGGCCAGGCCAGACCCCGCCCAGAGGGGCCAGCAGGATTCAGGCCTCGCCAGGGCTCTGGGAGCCACTGAGCAGGCTGGGGCCCAGCTTCCCCAACTGCCACCCTGCCCCTCCGGGAGCACTGCTTCTCTGTCCCCCCACCCCGCCCCGCGCGAGGCCCAGGCTCCCCCACATGGAGACGGGTGAGCTGGGATGCAAGGGCTTGAGCTTCTCGGCCACAGCAAAGCAGTGAGTGGGGGGTGTCCGGGTGAGGCCGCCACAGTTGTGCCGGTGGGCCGGAAACCCTGTCCTGGTCACAGTGGGGACAGGCACAGGTAAAGGGAACACCAGATGGCCAACGCCCCGTGTCGACCACGGCTGGCTGGCCGGGTTCCCCAGGGCAGGAACAGCCCCTGACCAGGAGCCCCAACGCCATCGCAGCTGCAGCCACACACGTGGGCTTGGGCTGAGGCCTGGCTGTGATGGCCCCATCTTCAGCCCACTTACTCGGGAACACGGACGCTCAGGGGTCAAATGTGGCTCAGAGCAGCCTGGGCTGCCCCTACATCACCCCACGGCAGGATCACGCCCCCGTGGTCCTCTGCTGCAGGGTGCCTGCCTAGGACCGATACGAGGGGACCCAGCCACGACCGCCTTGGGGCCTGGGGCCGGCTCACCACAGCCCCCTTTGTCTCGCACTAGGTTTGCCCACCCACAAATCCACTTAGATTTGTTTGCAAAAGGCTGGGAACCTCAGCCTAAAGGCCCTCTTATCTAAAACATGCCTTCTGTAAGATGGCTCAGGGCCTCGACCAAGCTGCCAGGGCAGTTCCGAGCAGGTGCACTCAGTGTCCCCAAGGGGCGCTGAGCCCCAGAGGGCCTGGGGACTGGGGTAGCATGTCAACTCTTAGCGCAGCACACAGCCCTGGGGGGCGGGCAGCCTTGCCCTAGGCCTGCACTCCGGGTCGCCAGGCCTGTCACGGAGGAGACCCGTATGGACTAGCCCTATCCCACTGCACCCTCCTGGCCCTGACACAGGAAAGGGCCATTTGTCCCCATGCTGGCCGGCAGGACCACAGGAGCCTCTGTCAGCGAGCCGTGGGGGCTGTGTGCTGTAGGCACGGGTGGATGGCGTAGCCCGGTGTATGGCACCCCGCACGTGCTCAGGGCCTGGTGGAAACAGGCCATGATAAAAAAAATGGACACGTTAGCTCGGAGGCTGAGGCCACACAGAGGGGAGGCCAGGCTCTGTCCTCAGCCAGATGCAATGGCACCTTCCCGGGGCTCGAAGGCCGAGGCAGGAGGCCTGGGACATAGCAAGGCCCTGTTTGCGAGTGGTCACTTTGTATTCAACAATCATCCAGTCTGTGCGGGGCAAAGTGGGCAGGAAGACAGCCACTACACCCCGAACCTCGGTTCCGGGAGGGAACGCTGGCCTCACTGCCGGCGTGACTGGGTGTCCTTGGCAGGTGCCCTGTACCACGGAGTGCCACAGGGTACTGGGATCGCAAAGTGGGCGTGAGCCTGTTGTGGAGGGCCAGGGCGTATGAGAGCTCCGTCTGCCGTGCGGCGTCACCACGGGACACATCAGAGCCCCTTCTGCCATGACCGCGTCACCACGGGACACATCAGAGCCCCGTCTGCCATGTCCGTGTCACCGCGGTGCACATCGGAGCCCCGTCTGCCATGACCGTGTCACTGCAGCACACATCGCAGCCCCGTCTGCCCTGACCGC